CAAAAAGGACAGTCTCTTTAACTGGTGCTGGGAAATGGTGCACAAATGGTGCTGGGAAAACTGGACAAAACATGCAAGGAATGAAACTGGACCATTTTCTTATACCACAGGTAAAATTAACTTCAAATTTGATTAAAGATCTAAATGTAAGACAGGAAATCATAAAAATCCTAGAGGAGAACACAGGCAGTAACTTCTTTGACATCAGCCATAGCAACTTCTTTCTAGATATGTCTCCCGAGGCAAGGGAAACAAAAGCAAAAAGAAAATACTAGGATAACATCAAAATAAAGAGCTTCTGCACGGCAAAGGAAACAATCAACAAAACTGAAAGGCAACCTACAGAATGGGAGAAGATATTTGCAAATGACTCATCCAATAAAGTTTTGGTATCCAAAATATATAAAGAACTTCTAAAATTCAACCCCCCAAAAAACAATAATCCAATTAAAAAACAGGCAGAAGACATGAACAGACATTACTCCAAAGATATACAAATGACCAGCAGACACACGAAAAGGTGCTCATCATCACTAATCATCCAGGAAATGCAAATCAAGCTGCCTACCACGAGCTATCATCCCACACCTGTTAGAATGGCTAAAATCAGCAACACAAAACGCAACAGGTGTTGACAAGGATGTGAAGAAAGGGGAACCCTCTTGCACTGTTGGAGGAAATGCAAGGGGTGAAGCTGCTGTGGAAAATATATGGAAGTTCCTCAAAAAGTTAAAAATAGAACCATCCTATGATCTAGCAATTGCTGGATATTTACTCAAAGAATATGAAAACACTAATTCGAAGGGATAAACATTTACCCTTATGTTTATAGAAGCATCATCTACAACAGCCAAGATGATGGAAGCAGCCCAAGTGTCCACCAATTGATGAATGGGTAAAGAAGATGTGCTATAGATACACAATGGAATATTATTCAGCCATAAAGAATGAAATCATGCCATTTGCAATGGAATGGATGGAGCTAGAGAGTATAATGCTAAACAACATAAGCCAGCCAGAGAAAGATTTTACTCATAAGTGGAATTTAAGAAAAAAAAGCAGAAGGAAAAAAATGAGAAAGAGAGAAAGAAATCAAGAAATCACGACTCCTAATTATAGAGAACTGATGGTTACTGGAGGGGAGGGAGGCAGGGGATGGGTGAAATGGGGGTTAGAGATTAAGGAGAGCACTTGTGATGAGCATCAAGTGATGTGTGGAAGGGTTGAATCACTATATTGCACACCTGAAACTAATAATAACTCTGTATGTTAACTGAAATTAAAAAAGAAACTCAAAAATTAATACTGACAGCTTTAAAAAAAAAAGAAAGAAACCATAAGCCTCCCTCCCCAAAATTTCTGTAAATTCCTGGTGCTTATGTGCTCATAGACTCCTCAGTTCACACATGGGGTTCCCACTCCCTTTGTGTGTCACCTAGATAGCAAAGCTCAGTTCCTCACTGGTTTCCTCAAGAAACCTCCATGTGCATTGAGCCTTATACATTTTACGACAATTTTTTTTATTTATTTATTTATTTTTTTTTTTTTACTGAATGTTTAGGAGGTTGGAGGGGCCACATGACACAGTGATTGACCTTCCACCCTTCCACTAGTTCTCCTATGCTCCCAACCTTTCTCATCTCCTGGGTCCCTCTTAATAACAGCCCACAGCTCTCTCTGCTTGGACATACACAACAGTGTCCCCATGTGCAGGATGCTGCCCACCCCCACTGCTACCCCAAGCTGGCTGATCAAGAATTTTCACGAGGGCAGTCCTATGGGTTACTACCCTAAAGAATATTAAGTAGAAGGGGGAAAAATCCCTTCACTTTATCCCCCTTGTTTTGAGCGACCATCCCCCACACTGCCTGCTAAAGATAGCTCACACTGATTGAGGAATCACTAAAGATCCCTGTGCGAAGTAACACATTAAGATTCCCAACCACTCATAACCCAGAGAAACTATAAGATTTGGCCAGTCTCAGCTAAAGGGCATCAGGGCTGGGACTTGAACCTAGGGTGCTTTGAGCAGGATCCCCACTGCCTTGAGCTACTCTATGGACACAGGCTAAAACGGTAGTGCCCACCGAGGCATCATCCCAGCACTTGGACATCAGAACAGCCCAGAGCTAAATCACAGAGGACATTTCTTGTTGGTGAGAATAATTCCCAAGCCCTAAAGGGTCACTAGAAACAGAACACTGGCTTTCCGCCCCCCCCCCCTTCTTTATCCTGCTTCCCATGCCTGGACTATGTGCAACATCCATGGCTGTCGGGAAACCTGATGATGCTTGGCGGCTCAAACACCCCATCTGCCCACACATCACTGGGCTGCATGTCACCGTGCTACTGTTGCCGCTCCAGTCTCACAAATCAGGGAGCTCAAGTGAAAGGATGACTCCGCTTTAGGATTAGAAGGACCCTGCACCCTTCCCCAGCTCTCTGGGCATCATGGGAGAGTGACCTGGAAAATCAAATACATAGAAATGTCCCAAAATATAGGAGTCTTGTTTGAGGCATAGTAAAACCTATTAGCTTGAGAAATTGGTCTGGAAATCTTATTAAAAGAGACAAATCATTCCGCCTTCTCTCGGGACTGAAAATATTGGGGGTAATAGACTTTCCCTGATGCCTAGGACCCATGAACCTCACATCAGGATCACAGCCAACCTCTGGCAAGGCTCAATTCAGTGCAGGTGATAAAGGCTATTCTTTTTTTTTTTTAACGGGCAGTTCTGATTAATTCTGATTTCTTTGGCCAGCCGCAGACTTATCTCTACCAGTCCCTCATTACTGTGAAGGTTGCAAGCCAGAAGAGCCAATGGCAAAGAGAAATAAAGTTCAAATTGTGGGTTTGTCATTATTGCACAGCTCAGCAGATAACTGTCCAGCACCCCCACCACACACACACACACACACACACACACACACACACGACTTCTCTTTCAATATGCTCAATTAACCCACGATGGAGATGGGAAAGCAAGGCACCGTACCATTATGAAACCTGGCCTTGCTCATCTTTGCTATTTAAGAGGAATGATAAGAAGAATCCTTCAAATATGTATGTTAGCTATTATCATTATGGTGGTTATGTTTGCTGGGCACTGATAGGTTCCAGAATATTGTGAATCACTGGAATTGAGCAGATGCTTATTCCATGCCTGGCACTATGCTAAGGGCTTTCTTCACATGTATCATCTCCTTTATCCTTGGAACAACCCTGTAGGTCAAGGGTTGGCAAACTTTCTCCGTAAAGGACCAGACAGAAAATGTTTTAGGTTTTGCAGGCTATTTTAGATTATGCAGGGTATTCTCACTACACATATCTGCTGTTGTAGTTTGAAAGCAACCACAGACAATATGTACATGAGTAAATATGGCTGTATTTCAATAAAACCGTATTTACAAAATAAGTCAACTGGCCAGGTTTAGCCTGTAGGTCATCATGTGGATATGTGATTGCCAAGCTGGAATTTGGGTTATTTTCTCTCTCCTATATCCTCCTTCCTCCCTGCTCTTCCATTCTGGTTCTAATTCTAGAGGAAGGATAAAATAAAAGATGTTTTTGCATGTGACTACCCAGGGAGAGTTGGCTGTTCTCTTTCAACAAAAGGGAGAGGATCATTTTCATGAAGATCCTGCCTCCGTGGTGGCTATAGGGGGCCATCAGATTTCCATGGGTCAACTGTCAATCTAGCTCCTTGTCTGCAAGCTCAGTATAGACTGTGGCTACTGATGAAAGACTCAATCCCAAGCTATTCCCAGAAGGCTTAGCGGGTCTTCGTGAGTCTTGGGTACATTTTTTTTGTAACTTCCCAATGGTCTAACATGTGGCTTTTTTGTCCATGCTGGGGCAGTCCCCAGCAAGCCGGCAGCTGCAATCTTAGCTCCCCTCTGAACCCCAGACAGGGTCTACTCCATGTCCCTCAGAAACCAGGGATTTGAGGAAGACTGCTTTGCCCCCCTCTGAGCCACAACCCCTACCACCCATCTGATTATTCTATCTCCAACTAAAGTCATCTAATGGCTCAACAGATACAGAGAAATAAATTATCTGTCTTTCCTTGATGGCACTATAAACTTAGGGAGCAGTTTAGGATCTTAGACCAGGGTTTCTCAGTCCCTGCTCTATTGCTATTTGGGGCCCGATTGGTCTCAGAGAAGCTATCATGTGCACTGCGGGATGTTAGCAGCATGCTCTACATGCTAGATGTCTATAGCAACCCCTAGGTGTGACCTTCAAAACATCTCCCAACATTGCCAAATGTCCCCTAACAAACCACCTCTGGCTGAAAACCTACTGTCTTTGGTCAAAGGGAAATCCTTGCCTTTTGCCCTTAGCTGTAGGTCCTAACTCCCAATTCCAGGAAAATAAGAAAGATCACAGGCAGGATATCTCAGCACCATGTCACATGATCTTGGTGCAAGGTAAGCATAACTGTCCCCATCTTATGTAAGAGAAAACAGGCCTGTGTCATAGCAAATGAACAGCAGAACCTGGATTGAGATCCAAGCATGTCTGGTGCCAAGACCTGTGTATTTCATAAACTACTGATGATCTGGTGGTAAGATGAACACTGGAAAGTTTTTTTTTGGGGGGGGGGGGAATGGGGAAGTTTTCCTTGATCTATGTTGAACTAGAAACTGTACTTGCTCTTGCTGCAATGCTGTAATCCGGCCAGCACTTTATGGAAGGTTTTATTCCCCCTTGCTTTACAGAGGAGGAAACTGAGGCCCAGCAAACCTAACAAATGGTTTGATAACAGCATAGCAAAAATGTTTAAGTCCAGTGTTTCTGTGTTCAGAGTTTTGACTTTTCAGCAACACCAACAGCAATGGGTGGCTGCTCCCTAACCGGGAAGCAGAGTCAAATTTCCCACCTAATACTCTACCTTTGTAGCCAGCATGTTCTGCAGGCAATAAGAAAGGGCTCGGCGATAAATGAGACAACACCCCACCCTCACCTCAGCCTCTCTCTGACCTCTCCCCTGCCCCAGCTCTGTATGCAGTACTGGCCTGAGAAGACCTCCGGGTGCTACGGGCCCATCCAAGTGGAGTTCGTGTCTGCGGACATTGATGAGGACATCATCCACAGAATATTCCGCATCTGCAATATGGCTCGGGTAAGTGTACCTCCACCTTTGCTTCCTGTACTGCTCCTCCCTAAAACAGACAGAAGCTATCAGGAGAGGCTGCTGCACCCCAGCCAGGAATGTATGCCATGCCCTCCTGATAATCCCGTCCTCCTCGGTGAAGCAATGCTTCTGCTGATTCCGGCTTCACACCCAACAATGCCTCTGACACTGAGAGATGCACAGGGAGACATCCAGCCCGCCATCCCCCTGTTCCCTGACACACTTGCTGCCTTGTAGTCAAACTGTTCAGAAATGGGTGCTTCCCCACTGTGTTGTCTTGTTTTGGCGTGAGTTGATGCATTATTTGATTGGATCCAGTAAGGTTGGGGCTTACTGACCAAGACCCTGAGAACACCAAGATGAAAAATAATTAGTTGCTTCCATGGGGAAATTCACCAGCTAGGTGGAGTGTTGGGTGAGAGGGAGATTAGTGGTCTATGAAGTGTCTAAAGTCTTTGGTCTTTACTGGGGGCCCAGGGCAAACAGAACTCAGTTCACTGTCCAATGGGATGGTGAGATATGTTCTGGAAACATGAAGCTCGGCGGGGAGAGATGAATTCTGCCCAGTAGAGTTAGGGAAGGCTTTTCCTAGGGAAAGGGACATTTGACTTGGGTTTTGGAAATCAGTAGTTTTCCAGGTGGGGGAGGTGGAGGATGAGGGGCTGCAGGGAAGTCATGGCTGGAGAATCAGTGTGCACAAAGGTATAAAGATGAGCGTGGGGATCATCTGTGACTCTCCCCATGATGACACGGCACAGACCCCATTGAGTCTGTGTCCCGCTACAGTGGTGCAGCCCCAGGGCATCTTCTGAAGGGCTTTCATCCCTGGAAGAGCAACCCTAATGGTCTCTCTGTTCTCAGCCTCAGGATGGATATCGGATAGTCCAGCACCTCCAGTACATCGGCTGGCCCGCCTACCGGGACACACCCCCCTCCAAGCGCTCTCTGCTCAAAGTGGTCCGGCGGCTGGAGAAATGGCAGGAGCAGTATGACGGGAGGGAGGGGCGCACGGTGGTCCACTGCCTGTGAGTACTAGGAGGGCTGTCTGGGTGCTGGGTGACAGGGTGTCTGTCCTTGAGGATGCCACTGGCCACAAACACCAGCCACAGGCATGCCTCACTGCACCACATCTCAACATCTCTTAAAAGCCAGGGAGTGTGTATTCAAGGAATTACAATCTTTCATGGACTGGGTGTCACCAGTTTGTTGCCCTGAACTAAGGTCGTGTGACATGTTATTGATGCAAAACCTGGTGGCCTTTTACGAACATAGGAGGTGGGCAGGCCACTCCCCAGCACGCCCAATAAGGAGACAAGCCCTACTCCCCAGCAGGAAGCACAATGTGTCCTGTTAGTTGCAAGAAAGCTAGGATGAAATGAGTTCCAGTGACCAGATCCTCCAGTTATCTCCTAAGGAAGGAAAGGAAGAGAGGAGCATGCGTTGATTGAGTTTGATGCCAGACATTTTAAGTGAATCTTAAAATACTTTCTGCGAAGTAGATGTTATCACATTGTAGTGAAAAACTGAGGCAAGACAGGGTAAGGGGTTGGGAAATTAAGAGAGAAGCTTTGATTTAAAGCCACTGGCCTCCAAGCTAATATGCCATCTGCTAACCCACATTGCCTCTGAGTAAACTAAAGGACTCATTGGCCATGGTGGCCTGGGGGGAGCGCATCCCTTGCCGTGGGTTTAGAGGGAACACAGGGACATGGGGAGCCTGAGAGGCTGATGGATGGCTGCAAAGGGCCCAGGGGACACTGTCTCCCACAGCTCTGTGGGCTCAGGTGGGCTGTGTTTATACTTCCATTACTGGGGCACCCTGGAACCTTTACCTCCTATCTTAGAACTGGCATGGCCAGAGCACAGGGATTTGCAAATAGACCTTGACGTCATAATGCTCAGTGGAGGTCAGGACCCTTAGGGGACTGAGGCTGACAATTCGTCATCAAGAAAGTTACTTAATTGAGTGAGCCTCAGTTTCCTTATCTTTCCAGTGGGTATATTGAATTAGATCATCTTAAGGCCCTATCATGCTTTGGTATAAAATATTTAGAGAACAAATACAGTTCATCTACCACTATACAAATCCACAATATCACGGTAGCAAGTATGTATATGTTGTGAAAGTAATTACTTCTGAGAACCTGTGTCATAGTCTGCCAGAGGAGTATAAAGGGACCTCAGAGAAGAATCCTACAAAGATCTTGGACACAGAACACATGTGTAGCCATAACAGCTATGCAACATCTGACTGACAAGCATTCCCTTTGCTGCTTAGTACATGGAGGTTGGGGGAAGGTGATGGAACAGGCCCTATTCTTTTAAAATGTTGTGTCAGAGGAGGTAGAAGCAAGCTCTTCTGTCTTCAGAGTAAATATTTCTGGAGCCAGTGGAGGCATTAATAACACTTTACTGACCTCAGAATCAAGTTCAGTCCTTACAAAACCAGCTTATTGCTCCCTTCTTAAAAATAGTGCATGCATACATCAAGAAAACCAGAGAAACACACACACATAGCTTACAGCCACCACCTGTAATAATCCTTTCTTCCTAAAGGGCACAAATCACAAACCAGGGACCAGGAAGATGCTGTGAGGTGTGTCATGTTGATGGGTAAAATCAACCAGACCAGGCTGGTTCTGCCCACATCCCCAAAACTGGCAACTGGTTCCCTGCTCCCTCCAGTTCCCTCCCACACACTGAGGTGGCCTCCCCTTTAAGTACATGGCCACACCCATTCCATCCGGGGTCTCACTCCACTAGGCCTGGGACACCTGTGCCCACTCCCCTCTTCCTCTTGGATTCTATCGTTCTTGCTTCAGAAGGCTCCTTCTGGGGGGAGTCCCCTTCCTCCTCCTCCTCCAGGTGATTTTTTTTAGCCTGATTTTTTTTGAAGGAGTACCTTTTTACCCATGTGGCCCCTTGCCAAGGTAACTAGGAAAGCATAGGCATATCCTTCTATCATTGGAGACCTTGGCATCTTCGTAGGCCCAGAAAACACAACAGACACCAAAATGCAGGCACTGGCCAGTGAATGGAGGGCAACTGTCTGTACTTGAAACATTTACTTGTTGGGTGTCCTGTAGATAAAACATCTGGGAAACCAAGCACCTTAGTTTCCATCCAGGTGTTCTTTAGACATAGGCCATTATATGAAATCATTAGTTGCTCTTGGTAACATGCCCAGGAGTTCCGAATCAGGCAGATTCCTAAAGGGACTTTCTATAAATAGTTGGAGGGGTATTTCCATGACCATGAACTATGGAGCACCAGGAGGGATAGAGAGGTGACCCTGCCAGGAGCTCTCTAGCTCTGCTCTCCTGATCAACAGGGTCTTGCTCAAACCAACCAGGGTGTCCAAACAGAGACCTGTCGTTTCAGGATAGACCATCTCAGACCCACCAGCCCCATCTCCAAGCCTAGGCTGACTGACCTGAGGCTTACAGAGATGTCTCTGATGTTTCCATCCTTAGTGGATGGAAAAACACTAGAATGAAAACCATCTAGGATCTTCCATTGTCTTAATTCGATGTGTAGGAGGATCCAAACATCCTTTTGGACAGGGATGCAGGCACCACATGCACTGTTTGGGTCAGTGTGCCATGGGTGACTTTAACATGATCATAGAACCAAGGAAACATCCAGCTACTTGAATTTTCAAAAAGCATCTAGTCCAACCCCTCCATTATATGAATAGGAAACAACTTGCCCAAAGTCAGAGCAGATTCATGGCACCAATGGGGCTCAAACCAGTAAGGCTTTCACCACAGCCTGACTTTGCATTTTACCGGGGCAGCCACTCCCCACCACTGCTGATATGGCTTTAGGATCAGCAGGTGCTGGGGGAGGGGGTTTACCCAGGAATATAGCTCACCTCTTCACTCTGTGTTTAGAAATGGGGGCGGCCGCAGTGGAACCTTCTGTGCCATCTGCAGCGTGTGTGAGATGATCCAGCAGCAAAACATCATTGACGTGTTCCACATCGTGAAAACACTGCGTAACAACAAATCCAACATGGTGGAGACCCTGGTGAGTGTCCCAGGAAGCTTATTCCACAGCCGGGGCCTGACCCTAGTTCCCCTGATGTGGAGAAAGTGGCATCAGATAGCAAAAACCCCCAACAGCTGGGTGCATCCTCAGTCCTTTGCAGGCCACATCCTGCACACGGCTCTCTACTCTGCGCCCCTCCACTCCAACCTCACCAACTTCCTTTTCCTGCAGGGCAGCCCAAATATTAATCCTGACACCACTAATCCTGATACCACTAATTCAGGCTTAGGGGAAGGGATTCTGGATTAGTAGAGTGTGAATTATATTTTCAATTCAGTCCAATCCTATTCTAATTAACTTATGCAACTTGCTACAGTGTAAGCAGGGCTCAGATGCTTTGCAGAAAGGGATGGACAGTAAGTGGGCACACAGAGCCCAGGTCCTCAGGCCGCTGCAGTGATGAGAACAGACCACACACAGGGAACTTTGACCTAAGAGTCTTGACTTACTTGAAGCGTGCTCCTACTCAGATTCTCGTTCACAGACCAGCGGCGTCAGCATCACCTGGGCCCTTGTTAGAAATGCAGAATCTAAACCCACTCCAGAGTTACTCCATCAGAGTCTGTATTTTAGAAAGATTCCTGGATGCTCCCTATACACCTTACAGTCTGAGAAGCACTGGAGTCCAGAACAGTGAAAAGGAAGGGGGTGACCCCACCAGCATCTGGGAACACGTGGGTGTATGTAGGCACTGAGCAGAAGTTGGGGGGGTGTCCAGGGACAGATAATTACATGGATAATTTTGAGTTGGCTGTTAGTGTGGAGGTAGATAACGTTTCCTCCAAAATCTGTGCCTCTAACCTAAATGCATTTCCCCTTTCCCTTTCATCTCTCTCCTCACCTCCTCTGCTCCCTCTCTGCCTTTCCCCCTCGCAGGAACAGTATAAATTTGTATACGAGGTGGCACTGGAATATTTAAGCTCCTTTTAGCCTGATGGGATGGGGAGCCTGCCGGAGCCCAGCGGCTGCTGCAGCTACGTGCCCCACCCCCCCTTTCTGTGAATGGTGACTGGGCTCAGGGGCTTAGAGCTGGCACCCTGCCCAACTCCAAGGAGAAGCCTGGAGGGTCCCGTGTTCTGTGGTAGGCTCTGCACCTTCCAAGTGCTCTCCTGGAGCTGTGGGAGGTGCTGCTCTGAAAGGCCCAGGCCTCCCTTCCACACCCAACCAAGCGGCGGCCACAGGCCTGTGCAGAAGTGCTCCTGTGGCAAGGCCCTGGATTTTTCGGTTCCCAGACCTCCTGCTTTTGCTCTTCTCAAGTTTGCGAATCTCCTGGCAAGCCCCCTGTGTGAGTGTTGGGGAGTGACAGCCTCAGCAGCACCTCCCTGCCCTACTTGTCCTTGGGAGTGGAAGGGATGTGTGCTCTCCCCTCCTGTGTCGTGGAAATGATTAGGGCTCTTGGGGGGAGGAGGGTCCCTGCTGCGCTAGCCCCCTGCAGTCTCCTTCAGGGTTCTCTGGCACTGGACACCTGTCGCTCTGGATCAGCGTGACCGCGGGATGCTCCTGAGACCACAGCAGAGGCCCCCACTCACACACCTAACCCGCATGGGGCTTGGCCCGATACCGTTCTGTACCCCTCCCCTAGCCTAGGCCTTGACCTGTCACTCACTGGCCAGCCCACTGTGTCCACAGCCTTTGAGAAAGGTTCTCTTTGCTTTTTGTAATTGGTGGGAAGGGGGAGCATGGAACTCTGCTGCTCTTCCTTGTCTTTGTGAAAAGGAACCATCTCTCTGGGGCAGGGCTCTGGCTGACCCTCTGTCTCTTGGGGGGTGGATAAGATTTGATTATTTTCCAAAATGTGTATGAAAAGAAACTGTTTTGGAGTTGTAAAATCTTAGTCTGTTATGTCAAAATAAAAGGGGGAGGGAAGTTTGAATGTGTAATATAAGACAAATCTCTCAGGCCTGTAATCTTTCCTGGCAATGTCCTTAAAAGATCCCACCCTGCAACAGCACTGCCATTGAGTGAGGGAGACAGGCTAATCTGAAAATAGTTCCTTCAGTTTCCGGGGCTGATAAAATACCAGCTTTGTGCATCATCATGGATCTCCAAATTTGAACTCCCTCCTAGAGAAACCCCTAGCTGCCATCATAAGAAAGATCAAGGTGGACCTAGTTATGCTTTGGTTTAAAATAAGCCAAGGATCTCTAGGGTCTTGTCCAAAGTGTGGGTGAGTCAGTGACAGGGAACCAGTATTTGCTCAGCACCTACTGTATGCCAGGCTTGGCACGTTCCATATGACATCTCACGCAGTCCTAGAACCCCCATGAGAGAACTACTAACCTGTCATCATCTCCACAATTGGGGAAACTGAGGCATCTTCCTCAGTGATGAAATTCTGGGTTCTGACCAGGCAGACATTGGTGATAAGACTTGATCACACCATTTTCTTCATCTTTCTCAGCAAAGCAGTTATTTTATGGAGGGTAAAATAAGGCCAGAAACTTCTAAGCAGAGAACTCCACAATGGATATCTAATTCTTTCTTTCTGATGTGAGTTCTTACGTGAAGCCCGGAATTTCAGGTACATCTTCAGAACTCATTCCCGGCTCCCCAGGAAAGCTAGTCCCATCTAATTTCTTAGCCCATGAAAACAGGTGCGTGTTCCCTCAGGCTATGAGATCTTCCAGCCAGGGACACACTCTCTACCTTGGTCTCCATTGGGTGCTCAAGCACAGTTTCTGGCAAACTCAGGGTGGCCTGGGATCTAGAAAGCTCCACTTGGAGGCCATCTAGCCCCAGACAGGGGATGAGGAGTAGAGAATTCAATAAGCCACAGGTTTTTGCACCCAAGAGCTCACTGTATACTGGAGAAATTGAACCCCAGTGCAGAGGTGGTGAAGCATATGAGTATTATATGAACCTGGGAGCAAGACTCTGCCTGCCTAGGGCTTCCTAGAGAAGATGGCATCCATTCCAGCTTGGTCTCAACAGGTAGAAAAAGGGAAGAAAGGCAATCAGTCCAAGGGATCTGGATATGCCATGACGAAGAGGTATGAAAACTCCTTGGGATGGGGGCGCATCCGGGGAGCAGGGGAAGTCAGGTGGTATGGTGGGAAGTGAACCCAGCTGGAACATAGCACTGTAGGAGGGGTGGCAGGGGATGAGCTGGGGCAGGGAGGAGAGAGCACACTTAGAGTATAGACTATCCCTGAGGGCAGCAGGGAAGCCAGCAGAGCTACTGAGTGATATGCTGGGCTCCGTTAGAGAAGACTCCCTCTGGGGCCAGTGGGGCTGCCTCTTTTCCTTTCATCAGACACTGTGAAAACATTCCCTCAGTGTGTGCGTTTTAATATCACATCTGTCTGTCTGCTCGTTATTTTGTTGCGAGAACAAAATATGCGTGGATCATGAGACTCAGCTTCTGTGAGAAACTCAGGATCTCTGCTCAACCATGGAGCAGGGTGACGAATTCAGGCCTCCAGACCCATAAGGATGGGATATGAAAGGAGCCCACAGAAGCTGTTCCCATTGGCATGGGCTCTGGAGCTGTCTGAAAGTCCAGGGACACCAGACTTGATCACGGAAAGGCTGTCACTTTGGAGGTTCAAAAGGAAGCGTCTCAAAGTGAAGGAAAGCAGAGGAGCCCCCCAGCGAACTTTCTCTTCTCCTTTGATGGGTCCCTTCCCTGGTGTGCTTGAGCTGGCCCCCTGGCTCCCAGCCACTGCTCCAGCCGGCGTCCACACAGCCTCCCAGGAGCCTATAGCCGAGCAAATCAGCCTGGCATATGCTCTTTTCTCAGATCACGGCTCATCCATGCCGAATGGGGGAGGGGAGCTATCCACACAAATCCTAAGATTTTTTCTGCTCCAGAAGGGGTGACGGGGCTAGCAGATAAAAATGACACTGGCTTCTGTCGTTTCAAATGGTAGGAATTTAAAATGTGACTTCAGGGAAAAGGGAAATTGTAAAACCACAGGCTGTGGTGGGGTAACCAGCCCAACAAGGGCCACTGATGTTTCCCCCAGCTAGGCTCCCCATCTTCTCAAAACCCAGCTGCTCTCTAAAGAGGGCAGGGCAGTGAAGAGGTCTTAGGCCAGTTAACAAGGGATGAAACTAAGGCTTGTGATGGGGATATCTCCCCCTAAGATGGGGCGCTGGTGCCCTGGAACTTGGACTTGATCCAGTCCCTGGGAAATAAGAGCAAACACCCTCAAACCTATCTTCCCACCCCACTCCACTCAGAGGGTGGGCTACCTTTGATGATGCAGAGGAAAATAGTATCCATGCTCTCTGAGCCTCCACAGCAAGGGTCGGCCTTCTCTCTCTTGGATGCCAAAGAGAGTTGCCCCCGCTTAGTACAGAGCCTCTGGGTCACCTAGTTATGGGCTCTGTAGAAGATATGAGGAACTGATGAGAAGCCAGGAACCATTACCAACCTGTGTCTATTTGTGGCCTAGCTGGCTTAAGGAAGTAACTTAGCTCTGCCTCCACTGTGCCCTTTCACCCTTTCTGGGCCTCTAGATGACCACAGCACCCTCCTTTCATGGGAACAGAGGGATCAGGTTGCTCTTAATGCTTGCCCTCTTCTGTGTGTGTATCCGGAATCTGTCAGCCTTCACATGGAACCTGGGGACCCTTTGTTGGGGACTGTAACCAGGGAGCTCAATGAATTCTTCCAACATCTCTAAGAAGTGTTTATGATTGTCACCATTTTACAGATGAGGAAACAGAAGCTCAGAGAGGAGATATCAGTTCCCCAGTTAGTGACTAGGCGAGCCAACAATTAAATTTCTTCTGACTCCAAAAACAATATTTTTCCACCACGATGTCTCAGATTTTCTCATGGATCTACCCATAACATCAAAGACTAGAGTGGAACAGATAACCCAGTGGATCTTGTTGTGAAGTCCAAAGCACACAATCCTAAAATTGCATTAGTCTCTTGATTCACTTTAACAATTCATGCAATACTTCCATTCCACTCTAATTTGCCTGAATTTTTTTAAAGGACTATTTTTTAAATGATGTGCCCTAGTCCTTCAAGTGGCTTTGGTCCCCTCAACCCACTATGACATACTCATATGCCAGTCTGAGAGTCACAGTGTCTGGCCATACTGTTTCCTCCTGAGACCAGGTCCAGACTCAGGTTTAAGACCACTCAGCTTCCCCTAGATAGATGCTTTGGTGTGGGGGTACCATGACCTCACCACTCACGGGTTGATCTCAACTCATGTTTCTTCCAGCTGGATGCTGGAAGGAACCCATTGGCATATCCTAGGATGATGAGGATATGCTCATCTGCCTTGGTGAAGGCTGAGCCCATATTACCCTAAAGGAAAAGGAGAAGATGTATACAGCCTTTCTGAACAGATTCCTGAATGCTGGGACTTCTAGAATGTTATACCCTTTGTCTGGGTGAAGTCACATGGTTTCTAATGTGGGAAAATCTAAGGACATGCTTCACATGAGGGGCTAGGGTCTGGAAGGCTTCTCACTTTACTTTAATCATACATACTTACATAATGGGTTCCTGTAACATGCCAGGGCCCTGGAAGGGGTGCTGCCAGGAAGCACAGATTATTATGGCACAGTTCATCCCTTAGTGAGGCATGCAGTTGGTTGGAAGAGCTTATAGTCTTCAGTTCAAATCACAGCTTGGCCATTCTTAGCTATACAATGTTGGGCCAACCAATTAATGGCAAAAGATGTGAAAAAAGGAGCCTCGGCCATGTAGAAGGCACAGATTTGGAGAACTTTGAGTAAGAAAACAGCAAGGCAAGGTCAAGAAGTTGGGACCCAAAAGAAATATTCAAGGATGCACATGGAATACAGGGCAAAGTGGTCACTTCTGTGGTCCCCAGGACAGGGGACAGGGAGGGCTGGCCAGGACCACTGGGAGCAAAGATGCCACTTTAGACCAAGTATCAATGTCTTGGAGAAAAGATGATAATTTTCCCTCTGTCTAATCAAACCCTATTTCTTCATCATCTGTTCCCCATTGCTAAACTAGCTCCTGTTGTATGTTCTCCCTAGGATCCACACTTTCTCAGCTTCAGTATGAATCCCTGTTGTGTGCATACAGTTATCAGTCTAGTTAGGCTGCTGCAGACAGCAGAAGTGAGGCCCAGGGAGGAATAGCGAGGCACTCACCATGTCATTTCAGCAGGAGTAACTGTCCTACCCAGACCCAGAGATACTGAAGGAGATGATAATTCTCCTACACCTCACTGCCTTAGAACAGAATGAAGAAAACCACCTTCCTTTAGCCTGCACCTAGCCATTCCTGGGCTAGACAGGCCATCAGCACCCCGCTAAGTCAGAAGTGATGCCATGGGAAACATGAACCAGCCCAAGAGGAAGATAAGCAGGATGTTAACAGACTGTGCTGGGCTATATCTGTGTCAACCCCAGCTACAGGGAAGATCAGAAGATGAAACTTGAGTCACATAGGTGGCCATTTCATCTCAAAGCCCTGACCTGCTTTCCCCACCATCCTACTAGTCAGAGCTCCTTCTCAGCTGATGATGCCAGCTCCAAGTCACAGCCCAGTAAAACAGGAAAAAGACAAAGTGAATCCAACTAGAGGAGACCAGGTGAGATACATCATTGTTCCTATATTCGCGTGCAAGGGTTCCAATTTGGAGGTTCTCCGTGTATATACAACTGAAAGTGATAAAAATATATGGCATTGGCAGCACCTAGCAAGGATCTGCTTTTGATGTCATATACAGTCTGAGCAGCAGGGAGAGAAGTACATGGCAAAAAGTGGAGGGGACTGCTATACTCATGTCCTCTGACATATATTTCAGAGTTATAGATATGACCCTCAGAAGCACAGCGGAGAGGTCTAAGCCATATTCATGAACAGGAGAAGACTTTCTTCTGGTTTATGGCTAACCAGAGGTAGACTTTTACATACCACTGGCTGTGCAACTGTCTTGTAGAGACCAAGCCCATCTCTTGCATGCCTCCTGCCCACCCTCAGAAAAGATGGGAAAGGTCATCAGAGTGGCCACATTCACTTCCACGTTCACTCATAAATTTTAGGTCCCCAAGAGGTAGAGTCAGCACCTACAGTGGTAAGACCCCACACCAAGCATCCTAGCTGAGAGCTTGGGGATGATCCATTGGGGCTGATACAAGGGATGTGAGAAGACTCAGGATGAGTCTATAAGAAAGACCCTTTGGGACTGGATCACCAAGGAACATCCTTCAGAGCTTCTCTAAATGATGGGATTTAGACTCTGACCCTTGATTGGAATGTTCAGAAAATAAGGGTCCAGGGGCAGTAGAGCATTGGGCAGGAAGGTACTGATATGAAATCCTGGAGCTCAGGGTAATTCATATAATTTATGGCTCCTTGGTGAGTGGAATTCTTAGATTTGGGGGAGGAAGGGGAATGTGAAATAACCTGCCAATGGTGCACTAATGAGTCCCTGTAAGCATACTTCAGTGCTCTTGGGCTTGTGAATACGAATCCATAGACCTCCTATAGGATGATCTGACAAGCTCTCAGTGCTCACCATACCCCTATCCCTCCCATGGAAGATCAGTGATGGAAGATACTCCTTGGATCAAAGCCCCAGGGCAGTCTGGAGGCTCAGAGGGCCAAGCAGTATCCTCCCAGGTCAAATCAGACTTCCAAAGGGTCAGACATAATGTTAGTGCCCATGTGCCTATATATCATTGGACAAAATTCAAGCATGGTTTGCTAGTCCCAGGTCGCTGCTCTGAGTGGAACTAGGATCAATGCATGAAGTTTGATGATTTTAAGGAAGAACTGGCTGTGTGCCAGAGAGTATGAGCTGCCCATCTCAGCAGTGGTCCAACAGAGGCCAGACTTTAAAGGGAAGAAAGAGCATTGAGGGATGACCTTTCACTCTCTTCCACCCTAGATGGGTGATATGTTATGGAGCTTGGACTGTATTTGAACCCCTTTATTCCTACAAAGCACAAAGCCAAGGCTGTGCTTGGTTTGTGCCAGTTGAAGTCCCCTACTCTCCTGCCCAAGCCTTCCCACCATGCAGACTGAGATGCTGCTCTGGCCCCATAGTCAGGACTTATCCTGGCTGGTTATCACCAGAAAGTCCAGAAAGAACAGTTGCTTTGCCATAGACCCAATGCCTACCAAGATCTGTGATGAGACCAACCATAGTTCAGGCCCACTGGCCAACAAGGCCATCAGTGACAGCCAGAACTAGCAAAGGTCCAAGCAGAACCCAGAGCAGGGCTTTGCTTAGCACAAACATTATGTCCAGAGGTTACTTCCACCCCCCTTCCTACTTGAGGCCTGTTGAAGCAGACTGCAAAAGCAAAAGCACAGTGACTCAGTCGGCATATAATTATAGTCATCCCCAGGGCATCCGTGTCATTGCCAAGTGGATCCTGGTCTAGCCCAGGTTAATTTACGCTAACCCATTTTGGCAGTCAGATCAAAAGCACTATTCTACCTTCTGTTTTCACCCTACATCAACTGGCCAACGAAAGGCAAAGAAAGAGTCAGGGCTTCTACCCTTGTCTTGGCTCCCGGACACCATCATCACCCCCTAAGGGCCATCATGGGGTTCCCACTTGACTCTAGGAAGACTGACATCATCACATCCACTGGGCATATGATATTGCATGAGACCAAAGTCTCCACCTTCTCCGTGAATCCCAATGACCTGCACTTGTACAGTTTGGGTGTTTGATAGATAAAGCACGTATGAGAAGAGAAAACAAAATAAATCAACTTTTCCAAAAGCCAGCACTGTGCTGTCAATGTTCTTTTTTTTTTTTTCTTTTTCCTTTCCAATTCTGGCTTAAAAAAAGCAGAAGGTAAATAATGTCAGGTCAATGAATATCAGATATATTTTTTGACTGTACATTACAGTGAAGTGTAATCTTTTTACACCTGCAAGTCCATCTTATTTATTCTTGTAAATGTTCCCTGACAATGTTTGTAATATGGCTGTGTTGAAAATCTATACAATAAAGCTGTGACCCTGAGATTCATGTTTTCCTAAGATATTCGCACTGGTGTCTTCCTGGGATTGGGTGAGGGTGAGGGGAAGACAGGAGGAGGGGAAGGAGGAGAAAAACCTAGGGTTTCTTTATGTTCATTTAATCCTCATGTCTACAATGTAGGAAATGTATATTATCCCCTCTTTGCAGATGAGAAAGTTGGAGGTTCATAAATGTTAAGAGTTTTCCCATGAATATACATAAAAAAAAAAAAAGGTTGACTCTAAAACAGTTTTCCCCCAAGTATGGTCCACAAATTCACTCAGGAAGTTTACTAACAGACAAATTTTTAAGCCCCTACAGAGTCACAGTTTCAAGATCTGCATATTAACAAACTACCTGGATATAGAAGTTAACTACTGGTGCATAATATACCTCCCAAAAATGCAGCGACTTGAAACAACAATCATTTGTGGTGGTCAGCTGGCGTCTGACTACTCTGGGCCAGGCTTACCTAGGACACCTTGGCTAGGTGCTTGCTCCTTGTAGCTCTTATCCTCCCCCTGGCAACAGCAAGCTAGCCTAGGCATACTCTTCTCACGATGATAGCAGGAAGACAACAAAAAAACTCCAATCGTGAAGTTGCTTTGAGACCTGTCTGAAACATCCCATTAGATAAAGCTGGTTCTGTGGCATCGAGGGACATGGAAATATACTCTACCTTTGACAAAGAATCTGTTTTTCAATGTTCCAATAAATGCTGGCATTAGGTATCACACCAGTGGTGCCAGATGTAGACTTGAACCCTCTCATCTCAGAGTATTGGTCCCTAGAATACCTACATCAGCTCACCTGAGAAACTTCTAAACATGCAGAGTCTGATTCAGTCAGTCCAGGATGGGTCTCAGGAATCTGCATGCTTTAACAAGGGCCCCAGGTGATTGTAACACAATGCTGAAGTTAGGCGAGCACTGTTCTAAATGCTGTTGCTGTTAGAGAGGGCCCAAGCACACAAGGAGACAAATCAGTTCCCAAACTGGTGTATGAGGCTACCAGTCTCTGAGTTGGATGCAAAGCTCTCTCCAGGTAAGCAGAAGAAATGGCTAGAACTAATTCTTCTGAGTCGACTGGTTCCTAAGCTTTTTGTGTGTATCCAGCTACAAGCATAAGCCATGGGGCCAGAGCCAGGGTTCACGTAATTCAGCCTTTGGACCCCTGGGAGTGTTCTTCAACCTGAGGGATCAACATGTGGTACCCATCAGACCCCACTCCCACCCCAACAAGCCACAGAGCCTAGAGAACATGTGCTTCCCAGCTCAAGTCCTAAGTGGGGAACATGATGGCCAGCCAGCTAGTAATCCTTGTCCCTTTGTCCCTTGTCATGTTACTCTGACTTATTCTTCCTGCATTATTTATTCTTTTGCCACACATGTAATAGTTGACATTGGAAAAATTAAATGAGAAAGAAGGAAAAATCCCACCTATCTCCTAATAACAAGAGTACTTTGGGGCATATCATTTTCCCCCTTAATGGAAATACCTTTCCAAGAGTTATTTATAAAAGTAGCATATGCCCACTTGAAAGAACTCAATACAAAATTGTTCGAGACATAAGGTAAAACTCACCACTTCTCAAAGGTGCTTATTAATATTTTATGCCATTCCAGACCTTTCTAGGGATATGTAAATACATACACACACACACACACATATATACACACACACACATGCTGATAGGCTTCTTTCCACCTAACATCATGTTGTGGACATGCTTATGCATGCTTAACACCATTTCCATGGATATCTGCTTAAATAGCTGTTACCTTTCTTGACACCCTCCAGTACTCCTACAACCTGAAGGTAATCTGATTTGAGTATGTCAAGACTCAGGTGGACTCATAATGACGTCTTTGAGTTGTCATTAACAGTGAGGGACACAGACCCCTGTGTATGCCAACCTGGAGACTGGCCATGGTGACACAATCCTTTTTACATAGCTACTAGCTGCCCAGGTGACTTCTGGCTTGGCCCTCCTTTCTGGCTGGACCAGGAGTGTGGTTCTACATCAAACCTCAAAGCACCTTGGTCAGGCTCTGATGGGTAGCTCTAGTTTGGCTTAAGATCTTCCTCTAACCCAGGTATTCAAGCTGGAGTCCAGGGGGCCTAAAAGCCCTCAGACCCTTAAGAACATGGCACAATGTCACTGACATGCCATGCAAGAGGCAAGAAGGAAGATTTGATTTCCTCTGGAAAGTCTGGGATAGTAAGGAGAAAGGGATCAGGAGAAGTGCAGAAGCAGCTGGTGAGATAGGGAAAGGAAGCTGTTTTTGATTAATTTTAGGAAATTCTTGACCATTAGGAAATGCAATTAGACTCCACAAGGGCTCGGCATAAGTAACTTTCTCTTGAAACCTAGCAAAGGGACTGAACCTGAAATCTCCATTAGCATGCAGTAGAGATCCAGCACCCACAGAGAGATGACACCCACACACTGATCACTGGAGACAGAAGCATGGCAATAAACCCATGGAAATTGGAAGAAACTGAGGAGGATGTCAGTTTCCACAGTCCATGGATTAGGCATTGGAACAAAGTTAAACTAATTATTCAAGGACATCCAGAGTGCGTGAAAGGAAAGAGAAACATATGGAGAAAAATAGATGCATAGACAGGGAAAATAAATGGAATGTACAAATGAATGTATCAGTATATTAACAGCAATTATCTCTCATCATAGAGAACATGAGTAATTTTTGTCCTTTACATGTTCTATATTTTCTAAATTTTATATATTATTCTTACAACTTAAAAAACCCAATTATATAAAAATATGGGGAGAGCAGAACATAGGAAAATGAAAGCAGGATAGACAAGATGATACCAGGAATGGGATCATACCCAAAAGACTTGCCATACATCAAAAACTTGGCACTGCCCAACCACCCAAGGAGGAGGACACAGTCGATTAACTTAATATCCAAAAGGGAAAAATAAACCAGTTGCTCAGCATAAATAAAAAAGTATTCCTGCAACAGAGGCCAGAAGTAATTTTTTCCATGAGTCCCCTTAATAAAAAGAAGGGCTTCAACAACATCCTTAACAGAATGCAACATTTCCCTATCTGAAGGCTGATAGTCTCTTGCCATGGAACAAGTTGGTAAAAGCTCTTTACTGGAGGACCAAATTGAAGGGGCCCAACTACAAAGTTCTCTGGAAGTCAACCTGAGCCAGGTATAGGTATTAACATCTCCTTTTGAGTGATGGGGACCGTAACACCTATATGTGCCCAGATAGAAGGGTTCATCTCTCTGTGGAGTGAGATGGGGCGGGGCAGGGCCAAAAAGCCATGCTCATCTCAGGCTCTGACCATGGCTGACTCCATCTGATCCTACAAATACCTACACATTCATAAAAGCTGGAAACTTAGTTGCCAAGCTGCTGAGTGAATCTGGGAGGAGTTTCCTCTGATTATGAGACACAAGGAGCTGAAACAAGAATCATAATCAGTGGTTGGTGCTGAATCATGGTTTGCTACCTAAACCATGTGAAAGAGCCTCAAAGAAGATAAAGCAGTACATCCCTCCAGATGGTCTTCACTCACTCAGAAAATTGGCCAATCGTCCATTTCTATCTCCTGGGAGATTAAATGACATTAATAAAAACCTCTGTGGGAGGGGGAATGGCAGGGAGAAACTTGCAGAAATGCATGCTGAGGATTTGTGCTTTCATGCCCCCAATCTGTTCAGAGCTGCCCAGAGGGAGGCTGGGAGGGAGAGCGTGCTCTCATCTGAATATGCAGGAGACTGGGTAGAGCAGATGCCTACTGTATCACTTCAAATATCCTCAACATCACCTGTGATCTCCTCCATGGCTGTTGTGAGCAAGCAGCCTTCTGCAGATTCCGCGCAGGGGCAGCCACAGTGCCTCCCCTCAGCCCTGCTCTTCACCTTTTGCTTCTGCCCCACAGCTTCTGATGTCATGCTCTAGGATGCCCACAGGAACCCACTTAGCAGTCATGTGTGTGCCACCCAAAAATGTGGGGGAGTTAACCATCCCCCCAACCCATCATCATCATGGGGCAAACTTTGACCAATAGGAGACTAGAGCCTGTCAACAAATTCTTTCTACTTTCTTGCCTCTGAAAGCAGTTCTGAACTGTATTTCATGTAACTTTTCAAATGGTTCTAGAACAAGCAAACAGACCCTTGTAGGAGTAGCCAACTCTATAATACAACCTTGTTATTGCCTCTCCTTCCCTCCTTCTCTGATTTACATCTCCTACTCTTATTGCTTTTTGGAATCATATCCCCAAATAAAACATTATCTTAGGCTTGGCTTTGAGGAGGGTACTAACTGGGAAATTGGGCTAAGCTATGCACAGTACCCCCACCCTCCAGCTGCTAATATGAAATGGGACCCTGCCAACACACATAGAAGGCTTCCAGCTGTCCTATTAAGCTTTTGATCCAGAGACAAAAATGGACTTGGTGTGAAGTGATTCATATGGGAGAATTTATAGTCATGTCCTAGGTTCATCCTATATGTCATGGTAATTTGCTACTGAGATTTGGGAACAGGAGTCCTGCCTTCCCATATTTTTGCTGAAAATAGTAAGCTTGCCCAATAGACAGCAAGAAGGACCATAAGTCGCGCCAAGGAAACCCTACTGTGAGCACTAGCATAATGGAGTGGTTAGCCAATGGGGCAGGAGAATATCTGCCCACAGAACCAGGAACTTGCACCAATACCTCCTCCCAGCCTGCCCCTGACAGGACAGGACATGTAGGTAGCTAGCTCCTAATGGCGGAAATTGTGCCAGGAAAAGGTGGAAAGGAGGAAGGAGTGTCCAGTCAACACTAAACACAGATACAAGCCTCTTCAGGGCTGATGAAGCTCCTGTACTGAGAGCCCCAGGTCTGGCTAAGCCCCCTGCCCTCACAATCTGTCAGATTCTCAGCTGGCAGAGAAAAATAACCATATCTCGCCTCCTTCCCCTTCCCTCTTCTTCCCCCACCGTGTTCTCTGGCAGCTCTCAACTCT